ACTTAATAAACATTATCCGACACTTACACCTGATAAATATTAATGTTCCTAATAGTTTAGTACCCCAAAATCATGCAGCAACTCAAGCCAACTGCTTGAATCCCAAAATCATGCAGCAATTAGCAACCTCAAAAGCAACAACCTCTGTCCAGCCCTCCTCACATGCATCATCTCACCTGTAGATAACATGCATTAGTTCATCACCCCACATTCAGATTGTTGCATTAGTTCTATTGTTATCTCTCAAAGGAGATAGTAGATTACCTCCTTCAGTTGTTATTTCCAGCCATTCTTGCAACCAAGTCACGAACAGTAGCTTCAAGATGGTGCTGCGATGCTTCCATCTCCTCAAACTTTGTGTCTTGAGTTTGTAGTTTGGACTGCTGAATTTCAACTTGCTCCTCAAATTGCTTGCTCCGCCTTTCAAAAGTCTCCCTTTCTGCCTGCCTTTCTAGCCTTTCGCCTTGCAATTCTCTCTCCAGCTGAATCTCTCTAGCCGATCGTCATGCTTCCTTTCTAGATACCCTTGGCTTTTTCTTCAGCACCTTGTCAACAATCTCAGAACCTGGAACATTATTATCTGACTGACTGCACAAGGCAGTCATATTGGCCAGAGTATGCATCAAAAGCAGTGCAGCATTCCATACGCTGGGAAATCATTGATTGTCCAAAGCAGTGCAGCATGCAATTGAAAATATTGGCCAGAGTTTGCATCAAAAGTTTTAACCCCCACATTCCACAATTCATTTAGTTCCTCTATTACTGGTTCAATATAGACATGTATCTTATTACCTGGAAGGGATTTACCAGGTATAAGAACAGTCAAGAACATAAAGGACTATTTCATACAACTCCACAGAGGTAAGTTATATGGAGTTAGAACCACTGACCACATGCTGTAATTCGGACTCATGTTGCCAAAGGGATTAAAACCATCACTTAAGAGAGCTAGGCGAACATTTCTAGGGTGAGCAGCAAACCAAGCATAGTCACTGTCGAATTTTTTCCATGTTTCTGCATCAGCCGGGTGTCTAAGCACCTCATCGTCAACACGCTTCTCCTTGTGCCACCTCATATCCTTAGCAATTTCCTTATTTGTAAATAACCTCTGAAGCCTATCCTTCAAAGGGAAGTACCTAACCTTATGTATGGCCACCCTCTTCCATTTCCCTTTGCTACTCTTATACCTAGGCTCTCGACACTTTGGACACGTCTCTGCATCCTTATAAATCCCTCTATATAGTACACAGTGGTTAGGTCAGGATTCTATAATGTTATAACCAAACCCTAGATCTTTCATATACTTTTTAACATCATAATAGGAATACGGAAGAGTCTCACCAACTGGCAAAGCATCCTTGAACAATTCCAAGTTTAGGTTCAAAAGTTTGTTGGTAGAATTAGTGAGTACTTTATTGTTAAGCATTTTGACTAGAAAAGATAGTTTAGAATACTTAGAGCACCCAGGAAAGATAGGCTCTCAAGCATCACTAAGTAATCTACCTAATCTGTCCACTTTGTCCCCCCTGTCCCTGCCTTCATTACAAACAGTGTCAGTCCCCTCAAAACCACACTTCATATCCACTCCAGCTCTATGGATATCATCTAACATCTCATGCAACCCAGGTTCAATATCATTAGCAGAATTCTCGACATAAGAATCCCGATTAATGCCAGCATTACTACTCTGCCCAACATCAATATTCTCACCATGATGTAGCCAAACTGTATAATCAGGAAGGAATCCATACAAGAAGATATCACTTTTCACAGGTTGGATCTTTTTGAAGCAAGTATTATTGCACTTTTTGCAAGGGCATCTAATTCTACCAAGTGCATCAGCAGAATTAGTGGCCAATTGCAAAAAGTTTATAACCCCACTAACATATTCTGAACAAAATTTGTCTTTCAATTTCATCCATTGTTTGTCCATGGTGAGTGCATAAAATTAAACTAACCTTGACTTGTAGCCTTTTCGACCAACAACCAAAATTAGTCCAGCTCAAAAAGACACGTCTCTGCAAAAAGCATTAACACCATATGGTCAATTGAAAGCAATCAATATGAAACCTAGACTTCGGTTAAAATAAAGGATGAACTGTGAATGTTAAACACTTAATAAGAACAAATTATCAGAATCGAGCTAAGCAAACAGGGGTCCAAATTTAACAGAAACTAACATAATCTTCATCACGGAACCAACTGATGAATTCAAGGCCATTAATCTAAAACCTATTTTGCTTGAAACGAAGGATGAACTCAGATCCATGAGCCTCTTACAAGACATCAAAGTAATGAAAGAGAATTCAGGAATATAGAAATCAAACAGACTCAAGTAATGACAGAGACTCCAGAAATCAAAGGTTTTCGCACTTGAACATCGCAGCATTGACATGGAACAACAAACTCCAAAAACGGTGATAATCAGTCATAATCGGCATCACTCAGAGGAGACTGAGTACACGAATACACAATTGATCATAATGTAGAGGACGAGATTCTTCGACAGCAATCAGAAAGGATTTACCAAACGAGAGCATCTTCGACCCGAGAATTCAAAATAAAAGAAGACGACATGCAAGATCGAAAATCGAAGTCGTACCTCGATGGAGTGTTCTTCTAGTCGCCGAATTCAACCACGAGAATGTAAGATAAAGGGATTGGAGGAATCGTCCTGGGAATGGCGGTGTATATTAGGGTTTTTTCTGTGAATGGCAGAGAAAGGGAACAGATCGAGGTCTGGGGAGAGTAGGAGTCGTGAAGGGGGATTGGGGTTTTTTTTTTTTTGTGGGAATAGGAAAAAGAAATAATTTCCTTTGAGTTATGAAAACATATCGCGGGAATTTTTCCCTCCATCGAAATAGTTAGCATATTTTACAGTTCATGTGACAAACTTATTTGTCGTAACATTTAAAAGTACTGATGTTGTGACAAACTAAGTTGTGATAATTAATATTGCGTCATATTAGCCGCTTTTCATTCGTACCGAAACCTATTATGACAAAACCATTTGTCATATCAAACTTTGACTCAACTTTATATGACGATCGTTTTTCTGACAAACATTTTCGTCACAAGTTTTTATGTACGCTAACGCTTTACCACGAAATGATTTGACAAAATAATTGTGTCAACAAAACTTTTGTCATAATATGAATCTAATGTGATAAAATAATTGTGACAACATAACTTTTGTCATAATATGAAGCTAATGTGACAAAATATTGCGACGATAAACCTTTTTGTCACATTAAACATGGCAGTTATGACAAATACTTACTTTTGTCACATTATAGTATCTATTGTGACGAAAATAGCAATGACAAATATTTAGTTTGTCATATCAGACATATTTTGTTGTAGTGGCAACACGACATATATGAAGCTTGCTAAGTACAGGTGTGATATAAGCTCGATGGCCTATAATGATCAAACTACGTAGCTAAATCACAAGTTTTTTTATCAAACTCGAAGTCAACTCGAACACGAACAAAAGTAGGATAATTGGGTTTGTGGAAGCGGATTGTCGTGCAATTCCACACCTGGGGAAAGGCTCTAACAATATCAAGTCCAAGCTCGGCCACAATCAAGTGCGATTCTTGATTGATACGAAGCACACTCTGTAATTGGAATCCATCAATTCACAAAGCACAACCTGGGGAACCTAACTAACCCGTACCCGGTAAACCTAAAACCCGAATGACTCGTAAAAGACATATGTAATACACTAATTTAGGACTTAATTAATCACTAACCATAAATAATTTCAAATCCACATCATCCATCACCAAAAATTTAACAAATGATTCAAACTATCTCACAAAAGAAACATAAATTTTTTATTTTAGTCAAATAGTAATTAGGGCGACAATCCATAGTGGAACACCTAAACCTGAAAAGGAGTTCGAGAAACGGAAAAAAGGAAGAATAAATAAAATTGATTACTGAGGATGGATAGTCTAAGTTTACACTAGAGTATTTTTCTCTTGATTTTTTTAGTGGTTAAAATAGTTATTTAGTGAATCAATAAAGCCGGGTGGTTCATCTAGTTTCATGTCAAATAGCTAAAAACGGTTTGGTCCATCCCTAACAGTACAAGAAAATTAATGAAAATAACATATATAACTAGAGAGTCATCATGAAGGTGAAGAGGTCGAACTCGGCTAATGGCTGTAATTTGGAAAATAACATGTTCATATCGGATAGCTCCATTAGTATGATATTTGTCCTCTTAAGGCCCGCACGGACTTACTCTTGGCTTCCTTTCCAAGATGTCTTGTACTATTTGGACTTAGTGGACACTAATATACAAGAGTCGTTTCTCTAATATTTCTAATGTAGTACTTGAATTGTACCATAACATAACATGTAATGAAGTAGTTTAATTCATCACAATAACTCGAACGGTTTATAATCCCGAATAAAAGGTATACCAAATATCCAAAGGAAAATAAAGAGCATGTAAAAAAGTTAGTTTCAGTCTCGCTACGGAAAAAGTGGCATTTGCCAACTTGTGAGATATGTTGTAAAAAATTCCGAAAGAAGTTAAAAAAAGGACCACCAAAAAATTTGAAACATTTAAATATATAATTCGATATGTGTTGGTCAGTTTGATAATTTTAGCCAATCAAATAATTATAATATATGTTAAAACTCAGCAAATATTTAACCTTTTGATAACATTACTATTAACATGTTGCTAAAAATAGGTGAATAGGCAACGTTATTCTATTTGCAATATAAAGTGTTGCCTATAGTAGAGAAAATGCAACATATTTGTAACCAAGTCACTCATTTTTGTTGCGTAAACTGTTTTTTTTCAAACACTAAAAATAGTGTTAACCGTTGTACATTTTAAGCATCACCGTTAATTAGTGTCGTAAGACGCAGTATTGGTAAAAACCACTTTTCCCGTAGTGTGTGGCTCCAAATTTTTATTTTTATATTTTTGAACCTCTCTATAAAAAGGGGGACTTCAGTGCATCACCCCAAAACAAGCTAAGCTAGAGCCCTAGTGAGGCAACAATAACCCTACCCTTTTCCACTTCCCCCATGGCTTTCAGAGTTCTTATGCTGCTGCTTCTCTCGTGCCTGCTGGCTCATGGCATTAGGTTAGGGATGGCACAGTCCTACGACCCTTGCGAAAATCTAACCGACTACCAATACAAGCCATCCGAGCAGCTGCCCCATGGCCGTCGACATTTCCCCAACGGCTTCGTGTTTGGCTCAGCCACAGCTGCTTACCAGGTAGAACTATGTGTATCAGTTACCCTACCTAATAAATATAACAATTTAATTAATATTAATCTCGCGGTGTGTTTTTTATTCTTTTTATTATCACTTTTCTGGTTTCCTGTATAGCTAATCGTCTCCTTTTTATGGACTCCTTTTGTTTATTATTGTTGTTGTGTTCCTTTGCTGCTGTGGGATGAAGGTCGAAGGTGCTGCAAATACGGATGGCAGAGGCCCTAGTATTTGGGACAGATTTGCTCATGAGTTTCCAGGTCTGTCAACTTATAAAATGGTCGGCCTCTAAGCTTAATTTCCTCCATCTGCAGTTACGGTTTTGATGAATATATGATATGTTGATGACTGCAGATAGGATAGCCGATTGGAGCAATGGAGATGTGGCACTGGACCATTATCGCAATTACCCCGTATGTATATACTAGTTTTTTTGGTCCGCCCAGTGTATTAATCATTACAAATAATATATGTCATCCGTTTGTTAAAATGAAACATAGTAAATAACTATTCATATATATATATATATATATATATATATAAGGTTTAGGTACTGTTTAATCATAATGGAAGACTTACATAATATTTTTGTTTAATTGTTACATACAAAATGATAATATGTTCATAAAATTTACGTAGTGTGTTAATCGTTAACGAAGACTCATGTAATATATTTTCTTACGTAATAGCTATCCCTGTATTAAAATTTAGTATCTAGTGTTTATAAAATTTTAGAAATTAAATGAATTTTTAATTCAAATAACTGTTATAGAACGTTATTACATAAATCTTTCAAAATGTGTGATCTAATAATAAAATCAAACTTTAGAAAGTAACATATGATTAACCTATCACGTCAAAGTTAACTCACCTTACAGAACGTTCGCATAATGCTAATAGATGACATGTTAATTATTTTAGTTAACAATGATGGAATGAATTTCAGTTAATAATTTAAAAAATTTATATTATTTAATAATAAATATTGAAAATAAAAAGATGTTTACTTAATAATTAAATAAAAATGAGCTTATCATTAACGCTGAAAATAATAAAAATTGGATAAATAACAATGAGCTTATGATAAAATTGGATCTAAGAAAAGTACCCGTTATAAAAAAGGGTTACAAAAATTAAATATTGTTCATATTTTTTAATAATGAACCGTAAAAAATACTTGCACTTTTAATTATATAATGATATATTTCTCGTTAGGTTTATTTTGCCTGACAAATTGGGAATTTCCTTCGACGTGCATACAGGAGGATATCCAAAGGATGAAGGCAATGAATTTGGATGCTTACCGATTCTCCATCTCCTGGACTAGAATCTTTCCACGTGAGCAATATCGCTTCTCTTCGTGTTCCATTGTTTTTGTTTTAGTTATATATATATAGCTGGGTTGACTTATAGGATGAAAGTTGATGTTTAAATCTTGGGACGCAGATGGCAGGATGCAGGACGGAATCAATGATGCAGGAGTCCAGTTTTACCACAACCTACTCGATATGCTCATTGAAAACAGTACGTAGCCTAAGTTTGGTCAGTCTTTTTAAAGTGTGTTTTTTTCTTTCTAAAAGCTGAAGTCGGCCAAACATCTCTAAAAATTCAACTTTCAAAAAATTGAAAATTACTTTTGTATAATATAAAAGTAGAAGCTACGAATTGGAGCTTCTGCAGAAAAACTGTTTTGAAAATATAAAATTATCTCTATCATATTTTAATTTTATTTTGGACAATATAATATTCTTTCATTTTTATCATTTTAAAAATAAAATAAATTCGAAGAATGATTCAAATGTGGCCTTAAGTTTGTGACTAGTGAGTCAGACAACTGATGCAATAATTAATGTTTCGTTTAATTTGTAGGACTGGAGCCATACGTGACCATATGGCATTGGGATACCCCTCAAGCCCTGGAAGCTGAGTATGGTGGATTCTTAAGCCGAAACATTGTGTAAGTAATTCATACAAGAAAAAAAATGTATGTTTTTGTTTCACATGAATCTTTGATTCCTTTGTTGATCATGTTCAAACTGTGATTATATGTGCAGGAAGGATTTCAAGGATTACTGCAACTTCTTGTTCAGCGAGTATGGCGACAAAGTAAAGAAGTGGATCACTTTGAACGAGCCGATGGTCCATGTTCAGCGAGGCTATGATGAAGGGCTGCACGCACCGGGACGCTGCTCCGGACGGGCAAACAGAAAGTGTGTAGCCGGAGACTCTGCAACTGAACCTTACATCGTCACCCACAATCTCCTTCTTGCTCATGCCGCTGCTTACCGTTTGTACGAGGAAGAGTACAAGGTCCGTTAGTTGCTTCTTTTTGTTAAACAGATTAATATTTGTCACCTGAAATTTTGGTTATAACACACATTTATTTATTCGCGCAGGATGATCAAAAAGGGGTTGTCGGGATCACCATAGTCACGTTCTGGTTCCTTCCATATAACCCTGATGCTATAGCGGACCGTTTTGCTGTCGACAGATCTCTGGACTTCAATTATGGCTGGTACTTGGATCCTATTCACTATGGTCGCTACCCAAGAAGCATGGTGGATCTAGTGGGACCTCGTCTGCCAACCTTCACAAACCAAGAGTCGGACATGCTCAAGAAGTCGTACGATTTTATAGGCCTCAACTACTACACCACCTATTATGCCAAGAACAACGCCGAGTTCGACCCCGTGCATCTTCGATACACTCGCGACTCCCACGCCATTACTACTCGTACGTACTCCCAATTCCTTGCTGCATCGATACATGCACTATATAACTATTGTATTGTGTTGTGTTGTGTTAAAAAAGTAAGTATTCTGAAGCATTGGTTTTTACTCGTTTCAACAGCTAATGGTAAAGGAGGCCTTATTGGTGACCCGGTACGTATAATCGTTGTTCTTATGCGCTTTAAAGGTTAAAAATTTACGCTTTTAGGTAGAAACACGCTTTTGACTCCGAAATTGTTTGTTTGGTTTCACTTGGCAGATGGGTTCCACGTGGCAGTATAAGTATCCGGAGGGGCTCCGAAATCTTTTGAATTACACCAAAAACACGTATGACGATCCTGATATTTACATCACCGAGAACGGTATAGCTATCAATAGCTCAAATAAATGGATTACACACTCATTAATGAATGAAGAGATTAGTTAAGAAAATACAATATTCTCAACTCATTAATTTTATTCTGAAAAAAATAAAACAACCGCACAGGAATGGGGACGCAGGAGGACCCTGAACAGAAACTTGAAGAGGCCATAGCCGACACCATGCGGGTCGAATTCTACAACGACCATCTCGCGAGCATTTACCAGGCCATTAAGGAGGAGAAGGTGAAGGTGAAAGGGTTCTTCGCCTGGTCGTACGCCGACAACTACGAGTGGAACGACGGGTACTCGGTCCGGTTCGGGCTCAACTACGTCAACTACACGGATCTCTCCAGGCACCCTAAGCACTCTGCCTGCTGGTACTCCCATTTCTGCCGCCGTAGTGAACAACCCAAGGACGATAACAAAGCTGATAAACGCCAGCACTTCTGCCGCCGGCGGTCGCAAGGCTCTCCGCAGCGCTGCAGCATACGCTAATTAATCAACTAATGATCGGTGCCCTTCCGCGCCCATTCTAGCTTAAGATCGATGGTACTGTTTGGTATCTGTCTTGACGACAACGGAATAATTGAGTGAGAGGAATAAGCTAGAAGGATCCGACTGTCACTACACTGAGCATGATTCTAATGTAAGACATGATCAGTGTTGTTATCCTTTTCATTTCTCTGTGCGTAGCAATAAACTGTTGTTGTTCAGGGAAAGACGACGGATATGATATGTTGTACTGTGTACTGTTGTTGTTCAATAAACTAGTGTTAGACTCCGTACTTCACCATCTACCATCCTATACTATACACATTGGCAAAAAGATGAAAACAAATAAACCCATTCAACAAAAAGTCCTCAATCCTATCCACGTAGCTTTAAAGGAGAAAGCAAAAGTTGAGTTCTTTGTCCTCATTTTCCCATCATAAACTACTTACCTCTTCCACTTGTCCATATGATCACAAGCATTCATTCTCATTTGCCAACTCACCACCCATGGAAAGTGAGGTGGCAATTTTGGGTTCATTTCCCTTTGTTTCATTGGTTGCATGAAACCAACTGTTTACCGCAATCCTACTCAAGCCCTCTTCAACCCACTTAATCCACGTGGATGAAAAAGAGGAAAGGATAATTGTGACCTCAAACCACCACAACCTCCCACTTCCCACACTAATTATATACTAGCATTTATTTATTTTATATCCTATTAAATTGTATTTTGTTGCCTCGCTCTCAATTCTCAATTACTTAAAATTGTACGATGGCAAGTCGAGTAGTTTGGCTTGGGGAGTATATGGGCATTGGGCCGTGTTTGGGCCGGCACGCTTCGGGCCCGTTTATTTCGTGCCGTGCTTGGCACGGTCCGTTAGTTTTCGTGTCGTGCCGTGCCAGCCCATTTGTTGATTTTTGCTAGGCCCGGGCACGGTTTTCATCGTGCCGTGCTTATTCGTGCTCGTGCCATGCTTATATTCGTGTTTAATGAAAATAAAGAAAATAAAAAAGAAAATAAAAAAGAAGTAATAAATTGGACGGAGAATGAAAGTATTAAATTATTTATGAATTAACTACGCAGGTCTAAGATGAACAATTTATTAATTTTGCCACTCTTTGTTAGCTAATGAAAGTTAGGGTCCAATACTAAAAATATGATATTTAATTACCAACAACTTCCACATATCACAACAGTAAACCCGCAAAGAAAACAAAACCATGTTCTCTCCCGATAAATCAATGGTCTTGCCTACCTGTTAGAGATGGGCAATGGGTTGATCAACCGCTAAACCCACCCGAACCCACCGATTATGACCCGCCCATTACATGTTTGGGTTGATGTGGTGGATGGGTGTGAGTCAACTTTTTTGTCACTCACTAAACTTGGGTGAGTGGCGGGTGGGTAATTACCCGCAAAATCACATGATATGTTAAGTCATTAATGCACATTCTATAATAATATACTATATTTTCTTATCTCAAAACTTTAATCATGACTGATTCAATTAAATTACAATTAAATTTATAATTTTTACTTTATGTATACTATAAATTTGATTATTTTAAAATATGAAAGCTATCAATAAAATAATTTGTGTTCGCAAATGAGATAATAGGTGTTATATATGCAATAAACTATGTTTAATATTTCTAAATTTTCTTAATATGTAGTATTGATATTAAATTATTTTTATGCAAATTTTTATGACTCATCATTATCTAATATTTAAAAATCATTTGACCCACCAAAATTGTCAAATTCACCCATCATTCGCTGTCACCCACCCACAACGAAAACAATGGGTGGGTGGATTTTAAGTAAAAAATTTAGTTTTTACCCCACCCATTGATCGATTGATTTGAGTTCATTTATTATTATGTTAACTAACTATCTATATTTTAAATAATTTGGGACTTCTCGGAAACTTAAACATAATTTAAAAGTAATATTTGTCTGAACTATTCCTCTGCCGATAAACAGCTTTCCTTGCTCCTCAGCTCGCTATAGCCACCAGCGGGAGAGGAAGAAGATGAAAATGTTCCTTCTGTTAATCATGCTGCAAGGTGGTGTGAAAAATAAAAGAACTCCAAATATTTGAGTTGTTTGGGTCCCTTCGCCAAAAAATTGACAATTGCTGCATATTCCGCCCTCTCTTCAACCCCTCCATATATTATATCTACTCTTCTTCCTGATTACCCAATATATAACTTGACTTTTTCACAAAACCTAACCCCGACTACTTAAATTGAAACCAAATAAAGATAACAACATAAATTGAAGGGAGCAAATTTTGGCATGTAGTTACCGTTGCGGGATAAAAGGAAGGCAGGAGCAAAGATAGCATACTTCTTGGTGCGCTGGATGAGTGTTAGGACTTACTAAAATCCAAAGAGAGTTTAACATTCGCGCTAACACATACCAGAAGCATTCCGGCTTTCCAAATTGCTCGTCCAAAAAAACACTCTCCATCCAGAAAATATTAAATGGCGGTGACAATTTTCTAATTCTACTATAAATTATTATGTAGATTATTAACTAATTCCCACAATCATTAAGAAAATCCTAGTGCACAGCTTTTTGAATGGCACAATAAACATTTAAAGTATAAAAATATTACATCGGGTGAAAGGAAGTTGGCCAAAGATAAAATTCATAACATAAGCATTCTACGTAGACCAATCTCAAACATCTGTTACTTCTCATTAGTTCTTGTTTGTGACCCATATAAAATATTTGTATAAATACATTTTTATCTCTGGATGCAGGAATTTTAAAATGGGACTTCCTCTTTTCCATTCCACATTAAAAGTAAGCTAGGTAAGTGCACCAGCTTGTTGGGTGGATTACTAAGAATTTGAACACAATGCACCTACAGTTTGAATGCTATGTTTCTATAATCAATTGAAATGATCGTATAAACTCATTCTTTGCAAGTAGGATAAAGAATACAGGTCAATGTTTGGCATGATCTTGGGTTTCATGTTTATGGAGACACTCATTCGTATTTTGCTATCTGTTTCAATTGCCCACCATTGGTTAAGCACCTTATAAATTTGCATACTCAAATTGATATAATTAGTTATATTCTTTACAATGGAAGATAAAAATATGCCAGATGTTGAAAGATGATTCTACTGATATTCTTCGACTAAACTGCAGCTTAAGCTCTTTTGTTCAACTTCAATTCATTTCTGTATAACCATTTACTTCTTATATGTTTTGTAACACCCTACCCTATACGTATTATCTAATCATATTGTTCATACAATTGCAGCGGAAATAATCTCGGGTGTTACATTAATTATCAAAATTTACCCAAATAAAATTTCGACATGAATTACTCGCGTAATGGGCTAACAGTTCTTGCAACTTATCCTGCAAAATAATTCATCACAAACATATATATTCACAACCATAGGCATTGGCTTTTCTTAGCCATAGCCACACTTTTCATACTCCACAACTGCATACCATACTTATACATACCATAATCGTCACAACTTACACAGTTACACAACATATACACATATCATCAACTTTCCACACCTGTGGATATCTCACACTACATCAGAAGCTAATATGCACATGAAAAACGTTCTCAAAACATTTTTACAAAAAGGTGTGGATCACTGGCCAAAATCCCGAGTAGTAGTCCAAGCACAGAATAGTTGAAGACCATACCTCATCTTGCCTTCAACTCTTGCTCAGCTCCCACCTATACACCTATCTACTGCTGCTGATGATGATCTGCTTACACATGGCATAAGCAGAGAAAAAGGATAAAGAGGGTCAGCTCATAGCTGAGTGAGATAATCATAGCATCGTGAGTTCATAACAGAGCATACCCCTACCATACATCTAGCAAATAAGCCCAAGCACTAGGATCAGACCTCAGCCATCCGACATCCCAATAGGCAAAAGACTCAACCACCTTGACTCATGCATATGCATCTTATCATGTTTTACTTATAGGCGCCTGGCTACTCCCATGCTAATTACTCTCCCGGGAATACGGACCAAACATCTCGTGGATGTGGTCATATCGGACCCACCACTGCCGGTGTAGTCATATCGGACCTGACACCACTATGGGTGTGGTCATATCTCATAAGAAATCTTCAGTCACCACCACAAGAGAGGTGTGACTATCATACATATCATAATAGAGTAATAGCATAGGGAGCCCTAATTACTATGTAGTTGACCGTGAGACCACCACACTCATATTTGGTATCCTTATACATGATTCATATCCCATCTTGCTTAATCATAATTCATTACTTGCACATGTACTTGACCTGGCCATAATTGGCTCAACATAGGTAAATCAGGAGTCGTATAATTGCACTTCCTCGGGATAAACCCTCGTGCAAGTCATCCTCCTTAAACATCATAATATCACCCTGGGAAGTTTATTCCCTCACTTATGGATCCAAATACAACCACAATATCACATCATGTCAAAACACCTGGTCGAACAACCATGAAGTCATATCAACGGTTAAGCCACAAATGGCAACATGTATGCAATCATCAACATAAACAAGGTCCATATCAGCTAGGGCAAGTCAATAATATCATACAACAATCCATGGTTCATCATATAGCATAAAAGTCCATACACCCCTAATCATGCCATTCTAGTTCACCTAGGTCAATTCTAAGCATCAGCATAATTATCGTGATACGACAAACCCGGTATGCCGTGCTAATCCCTCACTAGTTCTGGTCGTTCAAACACCGGTTTAACCTTCCCGTACTAAAACGTCAATTTCACGAACGAACCCCGAATTAAAATTCGAGATCGTCCTAACATCCCCTGCAGTATCCCCGTCAATATTAGTTCTAGGCTCCGGGTCAAATTCTTGATAAAAACACATCAAACTCTGGCCGGAGCTAAATTCAGCGATTAGGACCCCGACCTAAATAATTGCCGAAATTCAGGGATTAGAACTAGAGGATTGATTACCTCGCTGCAGGAAGCTCGTATATGAAATTTGGGCTCAATCCGGCTTCCGGATACTCCGAAACCCTAATTTGGCTTATCGGGAATTCAAGAAATTCCTGAACCAAAAACTCGTTTTAAAGCTCTAAATCGATAAATCACGATGAATGGATGGATTAGGCATTACTTACGGGATTTTTGGATCACTAGGGCTCAAGATTGGAGCTTTGGAATTTTTCCACAGTCGCTCCCTGCACTTCGCTCGCTCTGCTTCTCTCTCGGTCCGAAATGGAAAAATGACGATGGTGATGAGAATAAAAGGGACGGGGAAAAGGGTTTATATATATATATGCCCGTCCGCTTAATTATATATATATATAT